GGGTCTCTCAGTTGTAATCAATGACATGCAACAACCACATTCAGTTGAAAAAAACCCTATTCTATCTGGTAGCGTAGTGGTTACGAATCGGGCTGCGAACCGCAAGGTCAACAGTTTGAAACTACCAGCTGCTCTGCGGGAGAAAGACGAGGCTCTCTGCTCCCATAAAGATTTACAGCCTCGGAAACCCTGTACAGGGTTGCTATGGGTCGGAACCGACTCGACGGCACTTAACAACAACAACAATGGAGAAAAGGCTAAAGTGGGGAGAGTAGAGACAGTCATTCTAAACAAATTTCAGAATGAAAGTGTAGTTGGCCACAATGTTGAGTGTGCTTCCCTCAGGTTGAAATCTCATGAAACAGGATGGTTTTGCCAGGGTGCCCAAATGAGTTTGAGTTTGTAGGACTAGACACTAGGAGGACACCTCCAGCTAATTGGAACCTTCAATCTAGAACAGGCATAACATATGCCAGATGCCAGCATGTGGGAAAAATGAGGTAGTTCCCAAGGCTCCTCTGGGCTTCTGTAAGCACCCAATGAGCATCACACACTCCTTGTTTTATGAGACGCTCAGAGGTTCATCAGTATTGCAGGATGTCTCTGAACCTGGGCATGGAGGACAAGACTGCAGTTGGCACACCCTTTCCTTCCCCTTTCCCTCTGCAGCATCCCTGCTTGCAGAGTTAGAGTTACAGAAGGGCGGTGGTGATGGTAGATATGTACCGTGGAGACTCATAAAACAGGACAGTTTTTTGCCACGGCTGCCCGACCTATACAGGGTTTCTGAGGCTGTAAAGCTTTACAGAAGCAGAAAGCCTTATCTTGTTCCTGCAGAACAGCTGGTAGTTTCGAATTGCTGACCTTGTGGTTCACAGCCCGATTCGTAACCACTATGCTACCAGAGCCCGATTCGTAACCACTATGCTACCAGAGCGTTTTATATATATATATATATATACACACACACACACACACATGTATTTACATGGAGCCCTGGTGTGGTGCTGTGGGCTAATGCACCAGACTGCAAAGTCCTTTGAACTACAAGGTCGGTGGTTCAAGGCCACCAGCTGCTCCTTGGAAACCCTATGCAGAGTCGTTATGGGTTGGAACCAACTCAACAGCACTTAACAACAACAACAACATTATAAATATATATGTATGTATGTATATATACACACACACATACACAAATGTGTGCATTTATATTTCTATGCTGTATGTACATGTGTGTATATATATTTTCTATACTTATTTCCCCAGAAGTTAAGTTTCCAAGGCAGGTCTTAAAATTTTGTATGGGAGATTATTCTGTATACAGAAATGGCAAATCTCATTGGCAAATCAAACTACTATGTCATGTGGAATTTAGGGTTCTTTTCTGGTTATATGAAGAAAAACATGGCATCAGGATTGGAAGAAGACTCATTAACAACCTGCGATATGCAGATGATACAGCGTTGCTTGCTGAAAGTGAAGAGGACTTAAAATACTTACTGATGAAGATCAAAGAGCACAGCCTTCAGTATGGATTGCATCTCAACATAAAGAAAACAAAAATCCTCACCACTGGACCAATAAACAACATTCTTACCAGTGGAGAAAAGATTGAAGTTGTCAAGGACTTCATTCTTCTTGGACCAACCATCAACACTCATGGAAGCAGCAGTCAAGAAATCAAATGACATATTGCATTAGGCAAATCTGCTACACAAGACCTTTTTAAAGTGTGGAAGAGCAGAGATGTCAGCTTGAGGATTAAGGTGTGCCTGACCCAAGCCATGGTATTTTCAATAACCATATAGGCATGCAAAAGCTGGACAGTAAATAAGGAAGACCGTAGAAGAATTGATGCATTTGAGTTACGGTGTTGGAGAGGAATATTGAAAGTGCCATGAGCTGCCAAAAGAACCAACATATCTGTGTTGGATGAAGTGCAGTCAGAGTGCTCCTTGGAGGCCAGGATGGTCAAATTTCGACTCTCATACTTCGGACATATTGTCAGGAGAGACCAGTTGCTGGAGAAAGATATCATGTTTGGTAAGGTGGAGGGTCAGAGAAAAAGAGGAAGACCCCCAGCGAGATGGATTGGCAAAGTGGCAGCATCAATGGGCTCAAGCATGGCAACAATTGTGAGGTTGGCCCAGGACTGGCAGTGTTTCATTCTGTTGTGCAGAGGGTCGGTATGAGTCAGTACCCACTCGATGGCACCTAACAATAACGATTTCCGTCAAAATCATGCATTGTTCTCTCATGATTTTTCTTCCTTAGAAGGAAAGCCACACAGATATCTTGTTATTGCTCACTGGTCTTTTACTAGAGGTTTGCATATTGTTCCTGACTTAGACCACAGTACAGTGGTAAATGACTGTACTTAAGACAACTGTAGTTGTGAGCCAGTTCAAAAGGCCCCTTCCAGCTAAACAGGTAAGTTACCAACAGCCCTAGCAACCAAACAAACTGAAACTGGGAGGAAAACCCCATTTCATCATGACCAGCATGCCAGCTGTGATCTCAGGGAAAAGCTCAGTGCCCAGAAGGCTCACCCAACCTCCTCTTCTTGGCACAGGATTTGGCTCTGAGCTCCTTGTAGGGAGGAGAGCCAACTCAGAGATGAAACAGAAGCTGTGACCAAAGGAGCATCCCTTTCCCCACAGATGTCCCTCGGGTTGCTTCCCTTTTGCCCATATCTCAAGGGGGACTCTTGACTCTCTCCCCAGAACTGCTGCCTGCAAAAGACAGGATTTTGTGGACTAGGCACTGACATCAAAGTTATTTTGAAAATATACTCTAGAGGAAATATAGAAAAGTAAGAGGGGGCCAAGTTTATGGAAGGAACAACTGGCTCGGAGGGTTCAAACATCCTTTATTATATTCAATATTTCGTCAATTTGTGTGTGTTATAAAAAACATAGAGCAGAAATGGGGAGAGGGTTGATGAGCTTTGTCCCAGTTTTAATTTTCAGGTGTACACATGACTCCTGGTATGGCGCTGTAGGATCCCAAGGTGGGCAGTTCAAACCCACCAGCTGCTCCTCGGAACCCTATACAGGGATGCCGTGAGTCGGAACCGACTGAAAGGCACTTAACAACAACACGTGTCATATGGGGCGTGTAATGGCTCCATATGATAAGCACTGTACTGTGAACCACAAAGTTTATGGTTCGAGCCTGTCAGCTGCTCCTCAGGAGAAAGATAAGGCTTTCTGCTCCTCCGAAGACCTAAAGCCTTGGAAACCCTATGCTGGGTTACTGTGAGTTGGAACCGACTTGATGGCACTTGTCCTGTGTCTCTGTTTGGGTCTCTGGGTGGCATAAACAGTTCAGTACTTGACTCCAGTCCTTAGGTTGGTGATTTGCACCCACCCAGAGCCACCTCACAAGACAGGCCTGGTGATATGTTTCTGAAAGATTGCTGTGGTTGTTAAGTGCTGTCGAGTCGGTTCCAACCCATAGCGACCCTGAACAGGGTTTCCAAGGCTGTGAATCTTTATGGGAGCAGAGAGCCTCATCTTTCTCCTGTGGAGCAGCTGGTAGTTTCAAACTGCTGACCTTGTGGTTCGCAGCCCGATTCATAACCACTACGCTACCAGAGCTTGACTATCCTGTGGAAGTTCTTGTCTGTACACATGGGGTCATTATGAGTCGAAAGTGGCTCAGTTAACAACTAACACCAGCATGTCTCTTGTGTACCTGGTTTCCTCCCAAGATCCCAAAGAGCTTGTTAAGTGTTTCCACCCTGCATTTTTTTTTCCAAAAAGTAAAACGCTCCGAGGTGACTCTCTCCAAGTGAACCTCTGAAAAAACTATGGCAGCAGCTGTAGTCTGTTTTTAACTATTTGGTTCATATGCATTAAGAAAATTCAGAGAGAGAATTTTCAAATGAAGTTTTGGTCACAGCTGAATATTAAACCTTTGTAACAAATAGGTCCCCTGAACATAATAGACTGTCCCCCACCCCCAGTTCAAGTTTAGTACTAAATGAAGAGAAATTGGAGAGGTTCCAGAGGATAGTAATGAAAATGATTAAAGGACCAATGATGAAAGGTTCAAGGAATTGGGATTACTTAGCCTCAAGAAAATTTGAGGGGTGATTTAATGGTAATCTTCAAGTACAGTATGTGGAGGGTTATTACAAGTACGGTAGCCAGCTGTTCTCCAGCTGTGTTGTAGGTTGAAAATGGGAGGCAGAACTAGAATTTCAGCAAGAGAGATTTCAGTTAGACTAGTGGTATCTCAAACTAGCTCATGGGATGGTTTAACATTGTGGAAGACCCTGAAATGTTGATGTTTTAAACTTAAAATACGTAGTTTCTGCTAGATTAGATGCCAACTTAGATGCTAATTAAGTTTAAGGCAAAGCAGCCCAGGGAATGAAAACTCAATATTGGGAAAATGTTGACGTTTGTTAAAACCTTCCTTCAGCACAGGGACATCATGATTTGGGGAACCCACTGTGAGGACAGATGCAATGAAGATGGGAAGTGTCTGGACACCAACTATGGTGAGTGTGGCAAGCTGGTGGCTGGGCCCCACCATGATCTTGAGCTGATCAGAAAAGAGAAGCATGTTCACCTGACTCTTCTCTTCCCTTACACCTGGAAAAGGAGGAGGAGAAGCCGTGCACGTACTTTGGAGGATCTGTGTGTGTTGCAGCGGTCAATGCTTTTCTGGGCAAGGCACCAGCTGGGCTCCTCTGACAGAGTGCTCAGGTACAGCCATTCAGGGCTGGCCTTGGTCTGTGCACTTAGTACCCCACTACTAAATGGTAGCTTAGTGATTACCAGTCGGGCCGTGAACCACCAAGTCAGCAGTTGGAAACTACCAGCTGCTCTGCGGGAGAACGATGAGGCTTTCTGTTCCTGTGAAGATTTACAGCTTCGGAAACCTTGTTCCGGGTCGCTATGGGTCAGAACTGAATCGATGGCACTTAACAGCAACAACCCAATTTTAGATGGTCTGGAATTCCGCCTTAATAAAATGACACTTTTTTTTTTTTTTTTTTAATGTTTTATTACAAAGCTTCTTTTAAAAAATGCTCAGCACGTTTAACTCCATCTGGAATGACAATGTTAGATGACAGTTTGGGGCAGAGGCTGTGCCTTGCTATTAAAAAAAAAAATGGGTATATCGATGCTTATTTTAACAACTGGCATAAAATCCCACTAATTGGCTAATAAAAACAGATACAAATACAGAACATTTAAAGTAATAACAATTCAAGTGCTGGGCTTTTTACAATAAGGGGGTGAGAATTAAAGATATGAAAATTCACTGCAAACTGGTCGGCTGGAAGTATCTGTTAAGGTTTGCCTTTAAAAAAAAGAAAGAAAGAAAGAGAAAGAAACCAGAAGAAAAATAAAGTAAAATAGAACTGTCATTGCTACCACCAGAGTGGATTTGGCTGTTCCATTGATTCAGCTCTAGGAATGCCTTACAAAGACAGAGAGGCCACTATCTTGTTACAGAAACTTCACAGAGAAGCCACTTATGGGACAAGGGATCTCTCAGAAAAAGAGGGCTTCTTTTAATTTCATTTTTCTTGAAAATGTTTCTGAATCTTTGAATCTTACTTAAATGCTCATAGCTAGCAAAATGTACAACAAATTGAAAATGAAAAAAGTGTAAATCGAAGCAAAATTCATTCAAGTTTAAAAAACAAGAAGCAAACATAAAGATTGATCCTTTTGCACTGTTAAATAAAGCTTTTGGAGAAAGGAAGTGAAAGAAAAAGGAGGACAGAAACAAAGAGGGAACTCTTCCACAAATTCCTCTGCTGGGATGCTGACTGACGTGCTGGTGGATGGCTCCAGTTGCTGACAGCAGGCAAACGCAGCCAAGTTACTGTCCTTGCCAAAATGTTACAGGTATGGTTGCAAGATGCTCTGAGAAGTTCCCGGCAGAGATGGGGGAGGGCAGCTTCTCAGCTGACCTAGGGCCTGCTAGCATTCTTGTGTGCTTTCTAATTTACTTTTTAAAAACCTTTTTCGTGTTTGATTTTGGAACTTGGCTCTTGCAGGAGACGAAAGGGGGTTTGGCAGTGATTGTCTATGGATCAGTGTCTCTAAGCAGTGACCTCGGGATGAAGTTGGTGTCATTTCCCCGTGGGGGCCGACTATAATAGCTGTGGAGACAGTCTAGGTTTTCAACAAGCTTCCATCTCCAGAAGAGGTCCCGGGGTTGCTGCCTTGGCTTTGCACGTTGGGAATGAGTTTCGTTTTCCACCTCAGGAAAGAACAAATGAAATGCTATTAATATGAATTTGCCATACACCGCTGAATAGTTTTACCTCTATTGCTCATAGCACATGTATTAAGGTCTCTGAATTTAATGAATCCACTCTGATTTGGTAGATGGCTGTAACAGATTGCTCTAGGATAGCCCCAAATCCTCAGAATACCTTGTACAATTTGGTTCAAGGACCACAGGATTATGATGTGAAATGCATTTGATACTTAGGGGGTCATGATACAAAAAAAGAAAAAAGTATTTTTTAAAATACCAATAGAAATGGTCAAACATGAAAAGATCTGTGTCAGACCAAAGTGCTTGGTCTCTTCAGTCCACTGTGGGTAGCCACTGTATGCTGGGACTGTCACAGGTTCCAATGACCCAGGGCACTGCAGACCTCCACTGATACCACCGTGATACGCTTGCTCTGTTCACTCACACAGCTGAAGCCTCTCCAGCTTTGGTTAAGATCTTAGAGTTCTCAAGACTTTTTTTTCCTACTTAACTTAGATCTCTGACATTAGCCTGGTAATGCTGTTAAGTACTGTTGAGTTGGTTCCAACTCACAGCAACCCAACACATAACAACGAAACAATGCCCGGTCCTGCTGCATGCTCACAACTATTGCTATATGTTTCAACCACTGTGTCCTTTTAAGTAAATGTTACTAAATATTGGTGATGATAATGGAATTGGAAAAAAAAAAAAAAAAAAAAGAATTATCAAGTCTCTAAAGCTTCTAAAGTAGATGAAAAATACAATATAACATTGTTAACAAGTTGAGGCTAAAATAACCCAAAGGTAATGGAATTGGAAAAAAAAAAAAAAAAAAAGAATTATCAAGTCTCTAAAGCTTCTAAAGTAGATGAAAAATACAATATAACATTGTTAACAAGTTGAGGCTAAAATAACCCAAAGGGAATGCATTGCAAAGTTGGGTTCCTTTAGGCAGGAGAGCTTTGCCTCTGGGCACACCCCCTACCACCCTAGGCAGAGCCTAGAATGACAGCCTCCCTTTAGCTGTGGAGGGGCTGGAGGAAGCCCCCTCTACGGAATGCCTCGCCAGCTCCAGCAGATTGGACTCTGCTCACAGCTTTTGCTTTTGGTGTCCTTGCTACTAAGAGAAATCTTTGAAAGTTTAATTCTGAATAAAAAGTGGATTCCTTTATGCTTTTCACTTGAGTGATTGAAAAGAGAAATTGGATGAGAATTAAAAGAAAGCTTTGAAAGGGTGAAATCATGAAAACAAAATTTTGCATAGAGAATTACCACCTAGGAAGTACTTTTCACAGTTGTTCAGTGCAGTCAAGTCAGTCCACTCATAGCAACCCCAGAATAGGGTGAAATGGGAATAGTGGTGAAACCGATCCCATGGGCCACTCTGAGGACTAATGTAGGCAGGTAGTAAGGCCTGAGTACATGTTAGCTATCGTTATTGTAATTACAACCAGTGTTGTACCAAAAAATGAATGGTATGGACTGTAACAGCTATACAGAGGTTTTCAAAGACAATTTCAATTCCTTGTCTTCTGCAGAATTAACTGGAAAACGTGTAGTACGGCATGAGCTGTGGTTTTTGTTTTTTACGTAAGAAAGGTGTCACTTCTTAGCACAGAAGAATCAAAGAGCTATGAAGGCCCCAATTTTTCCAAGGAGAGGGGAGCAGCACTCTAGCACAGAGGCTGGAAAGGGTGGGGAGGGCACCCCACAGATTTTCATTTCCATGGTAATATCTCATCACTGGTTGTCAAAGGGTTGCTCCAGGTTGCTCTTTCTCTCAGTGCTATGTGACAGCATTCAGCTTCCTGGGAGGGATGGCCAGGAGGTCACAGGGGCCAGGCACTTACACTGATACTGATGTGGGGGAGCTCAGTCAGACAGGGCTGGTGCGTCCATCCCCAGCGGCCAGCATTTCACACTCTTCCTACCCCCCTCGTCCTACCCACAAGCTCCTTCTCCTTCCTTCAGGAGTTTAGCACAACTACATATAAGCAGACAAGATGGCCCATTTTACCACAGGACAACCTGCAGACTTCAGGGAACAAATGCTGCCACCTCCTAATAAAGCTATTTCTTCAAACAGTCTCCCATTTTCCCTGCCTTTTACCCAGTGATTTTATGTTGTCCTCTTACAGTAATCCTGTTATGGGGACACTCTCCTACCAGAGTAACCAGCATGTAAATCATTGGCACATATATATAGTGGTTAGCTATCAAACAAGGCAACAGTGTGCCCCTGGTTGCTCCTTTACAATACCGGATCCTCAAGGTAGCCCAACTCCTCTTCCAAAGGGAGATATGGGGGCCTTACAGGGTTGCTTTACAGATATAAAACAGGTCAAATCAAGATTCTTTTCAAGAAACCACAAGCATGAGGCTCCGGAGACTGGAGACTTCCCACATCTAAGGCCTCACTGGGGGTCTGCGGCTGAAGTGCTGCCAGGCCAGGCGAGCCCCGGCAAAGCCCCATCCACCAGAGTCGGTGCAATCAAAGCCAGCAATTACTGCTGGGCTGCGGCTCTGCTTCAAAGGAGTGCGGCTCAGCCCAGCCTACATATGTTAAGACTGGGGCTCCTCTGCCCGGCCTATGAGTGGGCGTCACCTCACGGGTCATTTGTATAGGATCTCTGACACCAGCACAAGACCCTCCCTCCCTGTCTCCTCCCACTCCGCTGAAACCTTAGAAGCTCTTTCGGACCAAAATCACAATCTTGACAGAATACACCACTAATAAAAGTACCCAGGTGGCAAGAGGGCCAAGAACTCGGCTGCTAATTGAAAGGTTACTGGTTTGAACCAACCCGGTAGTTTGGCGAGAGAAAAACCTGGCAAGCCGCTTCAGTAAAAATGGTATCAGGCAAAACCCTATGTGGTGGTTCTCTGTCACATAGGGTTGCTCAGAACTGAAATGGGCTGACTGGCACCCTGTGACCACCAAAGAGAGCCAGGGACCCAAATGGGAAGAGGTACTTATTAAGAGCCAAAGCAGTAAAGGGAACTCTAAAGGTGTCAAGAGAGGTCCTGTTTCTGGGAGACAAAGTACACTGAGTTTGAGGTACTGGGGCTTCTAGACTCAAAAGGCATGAAGAAAGGGAAAGGGGGATGGCTTCTTCTTAAAGGTTGCCCCCCTAGCAAGAGGCAGCAAGAAAAGAAGCCCATCTGTGCCCTGAGGTGGACAAGGAAGGCCTGGAATGAAGGAGGCCTGACCTCTGCCATGGGTACAGGGGGTACTCTGTCAGCTCTAGCCCCCAAGCCAACTGGGCAGCAAAGCAGGTCCCCAGGAAGAAAGTTGCAGCCTCCTCTTGGTATCATGTATTACCAATTCTAGTAGAATTGGTAAGAAACCCACAGAAGGGACTTGGAGTAAAAGACCATTCCGTCTCCTCCTGCCTCAGCTTGCCTTCCACTCTCAAACACAAGGAGCAAAAACCTTAGAACATTTTTAGTGATGACCTCAAATTTGAGGAGAGGACATTAGAGATCAGTTTTGTCAGAGGTGAAAACAGACATCTAGATTTTAATTGCAAAAATTGCCTCACAACACACCACACAGGCCTCATGCCAATTGCCTCAAATTTTTCTGCCTTGGGGAAAACTGACAAAAACCTGTTGTTTCAGGGCGTGAACTCTTCTCTTGCACAATGTCACATGGGTACATGAAGGATGAAAAGCACAAACTCCTAGAGTGGGAAACAAGCATGAGTATGACCCTGTGATTTTAGATGGGACTGACATAGGGGTCACACAAGGATTGGCAGAGCTGAGCCAGCACCATTGTTTCTGGCTCCGTGTCTATCACAGCCCTGATCTTTTCAAAATGGACTTGTCTGTGTAGGAGGGAAGTCCAAGTCCACTGAACACTGCTGCACCAGGCATTTCTTGTATCCATCACAAAGCTCTGCATACTTCCTGTTTATGGATGAGGAAACTGAGGCCACCTGACATCAAATAATTGGCCTAGGGCCCCCCAGCCAATATTGTTGTTAGTGGCTTCGACTCGGTTCTGACTCACAGTAACCCTGTATAAGGTTTCCAAGAAGCAGCTGGTGAGTTTGAACTGCCAACCTTGTGGTTCACAGTCCAATGCTTACCCTATAGAGCCACACCACGACTCCACCCAACTAATGGTGGTGCCTGGTTATGCCATGGAGTAAGTTCCGACTCATAGCGACTTTGTGTAGGGTTTCCGAGGCTGTAAATCTTCAAGGGAGCAGAAAGCCTCATCTTTCTACTGCAGAACAGCTGGTAGTTTCAAACTGCTGACCATGAAATTATTGGTCTAACCAGAGCTCCTTCACAAATAGCTTTGGAGCCCTAAACATGCTCTCTCCAGCATACCTTCCGCCTCAAACTCACTGCCATCACACTGATGCTGACTCACAGTGATCCCATGTAAGGTTTCTGAGTCTGTAAGTCTTTACAGGAATATATAGCCTCATCTTTCTCCCATGGAGTGGCTGGTGAATTTGAACTGCCAGGCCAATCCCTAGCCCACAGTGCCACCAGGTCTCCTTTGTTGTTATTTTGAAACACCATGGAGTCAGTTACGACTCATAGCGACCCTTCACAGGGTTTCTGAGGGTGTAAATTTTTACAGGAGGAGAAAGCCTCATCTTTCTCCCATGGAACATCTGGTAGTTTCGAACTGCCGACCTTGAGGTTAGCAACCAGATTCGTAAGCACTACACGGAAATCATCGGACAATCTCTTTGATATCTCAAGTGAGTAAAGTTTTGCTACAATCATACATTGACAGAGAACTTCCAGAGGTTCAAGCTGAATTCAGAAGAGGCCGTGGAATGAGAGGTATCATTGCTGATGTCCGATGGATCTTGGCTGAAAGCAGAGAATACCAGAAAGATGTTTACCTATGCTTTATTGACTACGCGAAGGCTTTCGATTGTGTGGCTCATGACAAGATATGGACAACATTGTGAAATATGAGTATTCCTGAACACTTAATTGTACTTCTGAGAAATCTGTACCTGGACCAA